TGCTCCCCAGACAGAGCTGTGCCCCCTCACTCTGGGTGCTCCCCAGAGCAGAGCTGTGCCCCCCAGTGTGAGTGCTCGCCAGAGCAGAGCTGTGCCCCCTCACTCTGGGTGCTCCCCAGCACTGACGGCGCTGTGTCCTCCAGCCAGGAGCTCCCCGAGGGCAGGGCCTGTGTCCCTCCCACTCCCCGCACACATTCAGAGCAGGGCGCCTCACTCACGCCTTCCATGGTGCTGTTCCATACTTGGGTGATGTCTGGTTGTTGGCCATACTCCTTCTCAATCACGGGTACAACCAAGGTATAGAGCATGTTCTCAGCCTGGAAAGAGAGAGGCTCTTGGCTGTCACCTCCCACGGCTAGTCCTATTCGGCTACATCTGCCTTGTCTGTTGCCCGAGGCGCAGGCCCCTATCTCCCTCTGCCTGCTGAACACGTCCACCTCCTAACAGGCATCCCACCTCCACGCTCTCCCCCCACAATCCAGAAGTCACAGGCTTTCTTGCGCACAGACCTGGGCCTACTTTTCCTCGGCTCAAACATCTTCGATGGCTCTCTCATATGTACTAAGTAAAGTTCAAACTCCTTTGCCCAGCATCCAAGGCCCTCTACAACCTGGCACCTCTCTCCCCTTCCAGGCTTATAAGTAGCCCCCTCCCCACCCATGGCAAACAGACTTTGCCTGGTATCTTTGCTCACTTTGCTCCCCTGGGCCTGGAAGCTCCTCTCCCCTTCGACTGCTGATTCCCAGCCAGGCTTTTACATGACCTTCCTAACACACAGGTCTGACCCTGGCTCAACCCGCCTCAGGATTTCCCTGCTGCCTTGATGATCAAATACAAACTTCCTAGCAATTAAAACCCTTCCCCAGGCTCCAAGCCTGCCCTTCCAGCCTTATTTCACATGACTGGGAGCTCCCTGAGGGCAAGGACTGTCTTCTACCTTTCTTTATTCCCCCTGGGCTTAGCATGGTGCCTGGCACATAGTAGGCCCTCTATAAATATTAGCTATCATCGTTATTATTAATAACAGTAATAATAATACCTAGTACTTACACAGAGCTCTTAGATTTGTAAAGTGTATTACAAATATCATATCATTTTATCTTCACAATAACCCTCAGAGGTAGGTGCTCTTTTTGTCCTTATTTCATAGTCAAGGAAGCTTAGTCTGAGATCAAGTGCATTACTCAGAACCCAGGGGCATACAGCTAGTAAGTGTCTGAGGTGGAGTTTGAACCCGGGGCTTTCCGAGGGCCAGGTGGAGCACTCTCTCCGCTGCTGTCAGCCGCCTTCTTCAGCACGGCAAGGCCTCCCTCTCACGACCCTGTACTTGCTAATCTCTCATGTGCTTGCTTGCTTGCCCATGATATGTGATGCTCTGACGTGGCATGTGAATTTGGGGCTCATGCCTCCCAGCTGTTGATCTGAGCTCCTGAAGGACAGGAACCTGTTGTGTTCTCTCCTATACCTGAGCACAGAGCTCGGCCCACAGTAGAGGCCTAATAAATGGCTGGCAGATGAATTGAAAGAGATAATGAGGGAAGGGGGCAGAGGAGGATGAGTATGGAGTCTGCCCTAGGGAGAAGTCAGGCCTGGGAAATCTGTCTCCCTACATGGCCTCCCCTGCTCCTTCCCAACCTTGCTGTGACTCCCTTCCTGGAACCCCTGGTCCACCTTTCCTTGCAAGCCCTAGTTCCCAAATGGCCTTCGCGGCCTACTCGGCACCCCCCTCCCCCGCCCTCCCCTCTTCTTCTCAGAGCTGTGCCTCTGGGAAGTCCGTAGTTCAATGCTCAGCTGTTCTCTGAGGTTTGGGGATGACAGATCTCTTTCCCCTAAGCAGAGTGTGAGCTCCCTGAAGACAGGGCCCCATATCCTCCTTGTCTTAGCAGGCCCCAAGGACACCTTGCACGCCCAGAGTGGGCACAGCCTTCTGTCGGAGGCACTGGCAAATATCTGATAAATCAGATTTCTCTTGGCTTCCATGACTGGTCACCTAGTAAACAGTCGGTTCCAGCTGAGGGGGCAGGAACCAATCCAAGCTCTGACCTTCACTCCCCACCCTGCCCCCTCCGGGGAGTTTTTTTGTCCCTGGTGTATGGAGCTCCAGAGCCAGAAGGGGCCTCGAAGACCATCAAGGGGTCAGATGCTGGTCTAACCCCTTCCTTCTACAGATGGAGAAACTGAGTCCAAGATTTTCAGAGATGAGAGGGACCTCAGAGGCCCTGGAGCAACCTCCCCTCACTCCTGTTGTCGCTAGTACTGCTAGCTGGAACCAGCCAAGCAAAACGAAGCTGGTCTTCCCTCCTTGAGAGCCCGGTTCTCAGGCGCCTTGACCCTAAATCTCTTCTCCTCTGGCTACACGTTCTGAGCACCTCGAGCTTTGTCCAAGTCACACATGGTGGTCAGGGCTGGGTCTAACCCCCCACCTTGGCCCCTCAGAGCCCACCTGCCCGGCAGGATGCCCTGGACACTGAGGCAAAGGACCTGGGATGAAAACCAGCCCTGCTGCTTGTTAACTGGGGGGGCCCGAGGCAAATCCCAGCCCCACCTTGGGGCTCCTCATCTCCAGCACGACAGGGCTGGCCTGGATGCCCTTCCAGGTCTCTTTCTACTCTCTGTCAGAGCTGGTGCTGTGCCAGGCGCCTTTCCTGGCCCTGCTGAACCATCCACTCCCTCCTTCCCTACCAGCTTCCCTTCCCGACTCACCAGCGAGGTATAGACCAGAGCGACCACAGCAGCAGCAATTTCAGCGATGAATATTACGAGGAGGATGGAGAAAAACTGGAGAAAGTGAGACACAGAGAGGGAGGGGAGTCATAGACTGAAGGAGATGGAACGGCAGGGGAGGGGTCCAGGTGAATCTGGAGAGCCGGGCACAGAGCCTGGACAGACGCCCACTCACCAGCCCCCTGAAGGCCAGCAAGGCAGGAGCATTCTTACCCATCTCCACCGCCTGATAGGGAATGTCCCCCAACAGCCCGTAGGCTTGGGGTATAGGGTGAGGCTATCCCAGCGGCAAGTTGGGCACTGAGACTAGGGGGCCACGAGCCTAGAGGTAGAGGGAGGGGGGTCTTAGGCCATGGTTGGGGAGGGATGTTATCTTAAAGGTATGCGTGGGGCTCCTTACCATTAACAGCACACATTTATTCTCCTTGTGGGCCCCGTAGCACCCTAGGAAGCCAAGCACCAGCAGGACACAGCCTGCAGCGATCAGGAAGTAGCCCACATTCACAAACTGCATGGCACTGGCTGACACCGGGCCAAAGATCTTCAGGAAGGAGGGGCTGTCCACAGACACCCATATTCCCACTCCCAACAGGACTCCACCACAGACCTGGGGGTAGAAAGGGGTCTGAATGAGGGGAGGCTCAGGCCAGCCTCCTGCACCCCTGGGATGGAGGGGCAGGTCTCCAGCTCACCTCTAACCCCTTCCCAAAGCCGGCCTAGGGGGGTCTCCAGCATCCTACAGCCTCCTCCAGCCCTCCAGACTGGGCCTTCAGGCTCACACAAGGGAAACCAGAGAACTCTGAGGGTATTATTATTATTATCCCTATTTTACAGTTGAGGCAGACAGAGATGAAATGACTTGCCCAGGGTCACACCAACTAGTTGGAGGTCAGATTTGAATTCAAGTCTTCCTGACTCCAGGACCAGCACCCTATCTACTGCTTAGCTGTCTAGGTTAACTCTTTTTTTTTTGGTGAGGCAACTGGGGTTAAGTGACTTGCAGAAGACGTGGGTTTGGATCCTATCTCTGTCCTCCATAATCCAAGTTCCCAAATCTAGAATTCTTCAAGGTTCACTTGACTCAAAATAACCATTCAAGTATGGAAAGCTGGACCTATTATCTCCATTTTACAGAAGAGGAAATGGAGGTTTAAATGACTGGCCCAAGGTCAAATGTGCTGTAGTAGGAAGGGCCCTGGCTTAAGCTCTCCACACAGTGAAACCTTGGGTCACTCCCTTTCCTCTCCCGGCTTCAGTTTCTACTTCTGTCAAGGGAGGGAGGGTTGGGCTCAGTGCACTGGAAGGGTCTTCTCCTGCTGCTTCTATTTGATTAGTGTGACACCAACACGGAGAGAGAGGAAGCGACTGGCCCATGACTGGGCCATTGGCCCACTGACCAAACCCACACCTTCCCTTTTCCATGGCTCACCCCAAGCCCAGATTAGCACCTTATGTATAGAAGTGGTTGCCTGGTTGCCCCCACTGTGCAGTTAGGGAAACCGAAGCCCAGCTCTAGTGGGGAACCTGGAGAAGGGGACCCTCCCAGACTCAGAGTTGTATGTCCTCAGGGAGGTGGGAAAGAGGCTCTGGGGACCTGAGCTCAAGCTGGTGGCAGGAGGAAGTTTGCCTAGGCAATAGCTGGGTAGGCCCAGAGCTGGATTAAGATATATTTGTCCGAGAAAGAAAAGCACCAAGAGGCATGGGGTCAGGTTTCAAGGAAGCCAAGAATCCTGTCCTTCCCTTCTAGCTCTCAGGGCAAACAGGGTCTGCTTTAACCCTGGACAGGCCAGAACCCCAGAAGGGCGCTGATCTATTCCCAAGCCTTCCCTGAGGGCACAGGCAAGCTACAGAGAAGGGGCAACATCCCCCCTGCTGAGGCCCCTTGCCCCCATGTCTACAGTGCTCCCCTTGCCTGGGAGGTGAGGACAGAGCTGCCTCATTGCCCTGCCCTGTCTCCCCATAGTCCCCTGGCTGAGGCCCCTCTTCCCCAACTCCATCCCACCTGACATGGTCACAGTCACAGTCACAAGCAGTCCAATACAATCGAGAGGTGAACACATTAACATGAGAAATGGAAACCCAGGGTTCAAATCCTGGCTGTATTTCCTACCAGGGTCCCTCAGCTTCCTCATCTGTAAAGTGGGGACAGTGACGCCTGCCTGCTTTCCTTACAGCACCATGGTGAGGTTACTGAAACAGAAAGCTGGGCTGTTCCTCTGGCTCCCCCCCTCAGCGGACCACTCACACATCAGGACCAACCCTGGCCATGTCAGGCAGAGGAGTTGTTGGCGGGGCTTCTGGAGTGGTGTCCAGTTCAAGATGCACCCAGACATCGGGGCCTGGCCAGATTCAGGCTGACTTCTCTTCCTCCTCCCAGAGCCTGAGAAGGCAAGTCCTTTTCTTTCCTTTTCCCTGATCCCCTGCTAACTTCTACTTCTTCACCTTACACTGCCGTCCCCAGCTCCAGCAGCCTGCTTTCTATGCCCCCTGTCCTCCCAGGCTTCTCCCTTCAAGTTTAGGAATGTCCTAAGCAATGACCTTTTCTCCACCCTCATTGTCTGGGACCTCTCTGCAGCAGTCAGGGGAGCATTCACTGTCCCTCATCCTCCCTGCCCCTCACTGCTGCCTACAAATGTTCCAAGGTCTCCCCTAACTTTAAAAAAACCTCCCCTCCACCCTAACATCCCCTTAAGTCCTCAGCACCTCTCCCTCCAATCTCACCACTAGCGCACTCATGGCCTCCACTTCCCCTACTCCCTTCTCACCCCCCTGCCTTCTGGTCCTTCTCGGGGCCTGAAAGGACCCAAGCTTATCAATGCTGTCCCAGCTGCTGCCGCCAGTGCCTGCCTCTCGCACCCTGAGCCTTCTTGTTTCTTGTTCTGCTCGACCTCTCTACACTTTTTGACTCAGATGAACTATCCTCTCTCTTTTTGGCTACTACTTCTTTCAGTGATACTTTTATCTTTCCTGGTTTTCCTCCTTCCTGTCTGATCATTCCTTCTCAGTCTCCTTTGCTGAATTTTTCTCCTACTCCCTGACTGGGCATGTCCCCCAAGACTCTTTTTTTTTCTTCTCCCACTAGTTCATCTTTCTTGTTGAACTCATGAAGCAGCATAGGATAGTGGAAAGAAGGCTTGATTTTGGGGCAGAAGATCTGGGTTCAAATCCCTGTGTGACTTTGGGCAAATCATTTAAACCTTTCTAGGTCTCAGTTTCTATCAACTCTAAAATGAAGGAAATGGCCTCAGTGGTCTTTGAGGTCCCTTCTAGCTTAAGATTTTTGATACTGTGTCCTCTCTGCCAATGATTCCCAAATCTCTGTTCAGCCTCCTGAGTTCCCAGATAAACTTGCACACAGTAAGTGCCTAATAAATGCCTGTTGACTACTCAAGTTGGTATCCCATGATCCCAATGTCGAGGATCGAGAAGTCCTTAGACTAGCTAGGAACTTTCCAAATCGTCCAGCTCAATGCCCTCATTTTATACATGAGGAGACTGAGGCCCACAGAGAAGTGACTTGCTCAAGGATTTGACCCCAGCTGGCGTGTCCCAGAAGCAGGCTTCAGACCCAGCTCCCCTGACTCAGAAATTGGGTTTTTTCCCACCACAGCCCACATTTCTACCCAGATGTCGTGCCCACGCCTCAGATCTGAGGGGGCCCAAAGGAAAGCATCATCTATCATCATCATCCCTCTAATCTCAACTCAGACTTTCTCCCAACTTCCTTATTTCTGGACAGAGTAGAGGACATTTGCTCTCCTCCTGGGCTTATGATGGCCCCAATTCTTCCCTCTCCCTTGGCCCCCACATGCAAATGGTTGCCAAGGTCTGTGGAGCCAATGAGCTGCCATCTCAGAACACTCAGGGGTATTGAAGTCCAATCCCCTGCTTACCACAGTAACCCTCTCACCTGCATCCCCAGATTGGGGGGGGTGGGGAGTCCTCTGGTCTCAAACCCTTCTGGTCACAGGGAGCTCATTACCTCATGGTGGACTTTCTCTTCTCCCTCCCCAATATTTCTAGGATACTGTGATGACCTTTTCTCCACCTTCATCACCTCTTGCCTAGACCATTCCCTACAGTCTATGCTTTCCCATCTTGCCAAAGTAGCTTTGCTGGGGGAGGTGGCATTAGGCGCTACGGGATGGAGCCTATGCTAGTGCCCGTGGCATTCAAAGTCCTCAGCCATCTGCCTCCAGCCTGCTCGTTTTCTCTTTCCACCCCAGCCCAACTTTGGCGGCCTCTGCTCAGCTCTTGTGTCCCCCTCCCCTCCTCAATTCCCCATAAGAGAAGTTCTTTCTGTCCCTTAGGGGAGCTAAACCTTCCCTTCCCTACCCTCCAGCCCTGCCCGCTCCAGTGACCCTTTCCTAGCCACATCCCCCAGCTCCGTGGAGAGGGCAGGGCCCATGGTCTATCCTCTGGACTCCATAGAATCATGGGGGTGGGGGCGACAGGGGAGGAGGAGACAAAGCTCTGGGGGAAGGGCATGGCCATGGAGTCAGGCCTCTTGTCCTTTCCCCTTCCGTAAAACTAAGAGGCTGCACTTGATGCTGTGAACAAACCCTTCATCTTACTCTCCAGAAGATCTAATTCAGGCTTTCCTGTTAGCATTCAGCATCCTCCCCCTCAAGTTGGCCAAGTCCTAGTGCCCTCCGGGCCTCAGTTTCCCCTCTAACGGTGATAATGGCATTAATTATAGCTCCCATTGCTTTAGACGTGAGAAGGTTGGCAGGTCAAGTTCAATGATCCCCATTTTGCAGAAGAGGAAACTGAGAGATTTGGATAGTCAGAGCTAGAATTTGCCCTTTCCCAACTCCAGATTCTAAAACTCTCTTCCCTCCCCTGTCTTGTCAGACTCCCTGATCTCAGAGGTCCCCACAGACCCTCCAGTTCTGAGAACAGGATTCTAGGATTCCATGGCTCTTGCCCTGAGGTGGGGTGCCGGCCCCTCCAGGTTGCCGGACTTGACTTTTAACCTTCAGCCCATCTTTCCTCCTCCTCACTCATACCACCTGCCCTAGAGGTCAGAGCAGGGAAGTTGAGCCCTGGGAGGAGGGCGTCGGGCATTTCCCGTTCCTCTGCCCCATGCGATCTCGCCTCGGAAGAACCCCACCCCTACCCCCAGCCCCTAAGACTTACAAAGATGAGGAGGTTAAAGATAATCATGGTGACCTTCAGGAAGGTAAAGCAACACATCTTAGGGGCTGGGGGTAGAGCAGGCGTTGGTTAAGGGGTAAGTGGGACGGTCCCTTCCCAGACCATCCCCCTCCCCCTATCTTCCACGATGCCCCCACCCCCCCCCCCCCCCCCCCCCCCGCCCCCGCCCCCCCCCCCCCCCCCCCGCCCCAGCCCCAGCCCCAGCCCCAGCAGCTGCTCCTAGTCTCCTCTCCCATCCACACACACCTGGTCAGGGGCCCCGGGGGGCGACAGCTGGGGCGGGAGCTAGGGTGGGAGCAGGCACTGCACCGGAGCAGGGGCTTGGACCCGACACCTCTAGAGACCAGCCTGGGACAGCACGCTGAAGTATAGGAGGTCCTGCTCTCTCTGGGGCCGCGGCAGCTCACCTGAGCAACCTCGCGCCCGAGGCCGCTTTTAATGGGCCCCGCCCCGGCCCGCCCCGCCCCGCCCAGACCCGCCCAGACCCGAGCTGGGCTCCAGACCCGAGCTGGGCTCCAGACCCATTCTGCCCCCTACTGCCCTGGGCCGGTGGCGTAAGGCCTAGCCATTGCTGCGGGGCGCGGGGCGCGGGGCGCGGGGCGCGGGGCGCGGGGCGCGGGGCGCGGGGCGCGGGGCGCGGGGTTCTCCTATGGCCAGCCCCGGCAATCAGCAGCACTCAGCAATCGGCCCGTTGCGCCGAGGGGGAGATAGAGGTCGGGCGGCACGCTAATGGTGTGACCCAGGGCTGGTCGCTTCTCTTCTACCGGCTTCCTCAGTTTCCCTAGGTGGAAAGGGACAGTTTGGGTGCGCACGATTGCTCCTATCCCTCCCAGCTCTGAGTCCTGAGATTCCCGGTCCCGTGGGCAGAAGGCCTCATAGCCAAGCGAGACAGAATTTCCGAAGCCAAGAGTGGGACAACGACGTTCCCGGGGTCACACAGTGAGATCTCAGCAGGGGAGAGAAAGGGGGCCTGCTGACCCCCACTGACCCGTCACTCACTCTTCTAGGAGACCAATTTACTGGGTTCCTGGACACACATACGCACACAGAATCCTGTCCCTCACCTCTGCTGACACACCTAGTGGCACACTACCCACCCACACTCAGGCCCCCGAGATAACACAGATACCTCCAAACACACACTGCCCAGACACCCTACTCAGTCACACACAGATACCTACCCTGTCACCTCCCCCACCCCAAAGACAGGTACATGGAGACATACAATTCTACCTTCCTAACATACCTAGCATACCACCTCCACTTCTGACATCATTCCTCCCTGGTACAGGCTTTCATCACCTTACCCCTGTTGGTGGCTCCTCCTGGCTTGGGTCTCTCTCCTCTCTGGCCCATCCTCAGATCAGCTGTCAAAGCGATCTTCCTAAATCGCAAGTCTGACCATGTCATCCACTATTAAAACCCTAGTGGGTCCCTATGACCTCTAAGAGCAAATATAAAATGCTTCATGACCTGCCCCCCCCACCAAGTTTTCTTACACCTGACTCATGCACACTTAACTCCAGGATCCAGCAGCACTAACTTCCCTGCCTATGGGGACTTGGAGCATTTTCACTGGCTGTCCCTGATGTCTTCAGTGCTCTCCCTCCTCATCTTCTACAAGAAATCCTCCACCATCCCCCAGACACTTACCAGCTGGGACACCCTGGGCAAATCACTTAACCTTTCTGCCTCAGTTTCCTCAACTGTGAAATAGTGATAATAATAATCTACTTCCCAGTGTTGTTGTAAGGATCAAATGAGCTATCATCTGTAAAGTGCTTAGTGCAGCACCTGGCACACAGTAGGCACTTAATAAATCTTTCCTTCCTTTCTCTTCTTTCCTCCCTCCCTCCTCTCTCCTTCCTTCCTTCCTTTTTTCCTTCTCCACCCCTCAGTTCATTATCTCCAATTTATCTGGTCCACATTTCGTTTGTACCTAGTTTTCATGTTGCTCCTTCATTAGAGTGTGAGCTCCTCTAGGGCAAAGACTGTTTTTTGCCTTTCTTTGCATTCCCAGAGTTTAGCACGGTGCCTGACACCCAGTAACAGCTTGTAGACCTGACTAGACACCTCCCTTAATATACACAGAGACCCCCACTCAGCTCCACTCCAGACACCCTCCCTACACATACGCGTGCGTGCGCACTCACACACACACACACACACATACACACACACACACACACACACACACACACACACACACCCCACAGAGAAACTCAGCAGGACAGGGACAGATAGGGAGACACAAAAGCCCTGGGGTTACAGAGACAGATGGCCAGTCATCAGCACATGCCCATAAGAAAATAACATACAGGAACCCCATGAGCCTGGTACAGATGGAGGCGGTCACAGCTGATCCTGCAATGCACCTGAGGACACCCTAAGCCAGAAGACACAAATGCCCCTCCACTCCCCTGGCAAGCCAGCCTGGGCTAGGGTTGGGGAGTAAGAGTTCTTCTTTCCTGCCCCCCCTCCACCCACCAAGTCTAGTCAGGCTGGCAAGAGACGTCCAGATCCTGCAGATAACAAAGAAAGAGTGACCACCTGGCCAGAGCGGCCCTCCACCGACCAGCCTAGCTTCCGTCTTGTCTCTGGGGGTTGGTGCTATGGGTTTTACATTGCTCCCACCCTCATTTCCCTCTCCTCCTGACAGGCAGTACCCTCCCCCCAATTCCAATCTATCCTAAAGAGTTGGAGCAAAGGTCTAGGGAACGTGGAGGCAACCCCCCTCATTTTAACACAGGCGTCCCAGAGAGCAAGCCAAAAGAGGGGCAGTGAGCTGGTCATGAAACAAGTCAATGGCAAAGCTGGCATTTGGCTGGGGCCCCAGACTCCAAATCTGCTCTTTCTTTCACTAGATCCTTCACAGGATGCCCAAGTCACCTTCTGTGACCTTGTCTTCCCCAGAAAATTCTGGTAGCTCCCTACTGCACAGAAGGGCAAGCAGAATTCCTTACCCTGGCACTCCAGACCTCCCCAATCTAGCTCTACCCTCTAGAGAGGGTGCAGCCTGATTTCAGACATCCCTTTTCAGGTACCATCAATCCACCAACAAACATTGCTTAAGGCCCTCCAAGAGCCAGGCACGGAGCCTTATGAAGGGGACCCAGACTCAAAGACAACTCGGTCCCTGCCCTCACAGAGTTTAATGAGAGAAGTGAGTATTCACAGATAAGCAAAAGCTGGGCGCTTGGAGATATCTGTGTGATAATGGACAGGGTCATTGACGATGGAGGGCAATTCCTCTTACTGGAGGAGGTAGTAGATCTGAGCCTTCAAGGGAAGGGGGAGTGTGTGCCTGACTTGGGGGACAGCCCAGCCAAAAGTAAGGAGGGGAGAGATGGCATGGGAGGAATAACAGTTGTCCATTCTTGGCTGGAGCATAGATTGGGTGAAGAAGAATCGGGTGGAATCAGCCTGGAAGGAAGGCTGGAGCCAGGTTGGAAAGAGCCTTAAATGCCAACCAGAGGAATTTGGGTTTTATCCCAGGGGCATGGGGGTCCCAGGGAGCTTCTCGAGAAGGAGAAGGCTCGCTAGGACCTGTGTTTAAGGAAAATCACTTTGGCAGAGATGTGGAGGAAGGAATGGAGTGGAGACAGACTTCCAGCTAGGAGACCAATCAGGAGAGGTTATTGCAATAAATAGTCCAGGTGAGAAGTGTTGAGTGCCTGCACTAGGGTGGCGACTTTGTGAGTGGATTCAAGAGATGCAGTGGAGGTCAAAATGATAAGGTTAGAGGATCAGAGATTTAGAGCTGGAAGGGACTTTGGAGGTCAAGTCCAACCTCCTCTTTTTACATGAGAGGAAACTGAGGCAGCCAGAGGGTAAGTGACTTGTCACCATCAGACAGATAGTAAGTGACTATAGGCTCAGCCTTCTGTCTCCACTGGCCTCTCAATATGGCAACTAACTGAATATGAGAGGTGAGAGGTGTCAAGTCCTGAAATAAATCAAAGTCACGAGTTGAGGAATAAAGTGTTTTTAATTGAGATAACACGGTAGCAAACCTGCCACCCTGGGGGATGTCCCACCAGTACAGGGCACAATGGATTTACCAACTCCAAGCAAAAGCTTCTTATACCTTTAGGAGAAGAGGAGGAGGAGGGTGGAATGAGGTAGCAGGCCTGGTCATGAGACCTTGTGACCCTTGGCAATCCAGGCAAGGAAAGTCACTTCATTCTGGCTATTTTGCCTTTCGTGCCATGAGTCCCAACGGAAGTGGGCAAGGGCATCAGAAACTGAGATACAGCTTAAGCTCAGTTCCTTTACACAATAAAATCTTGGGGAGGGGGAGGATTTAGGGTGTGATTCAGTGCAGCCTAATCAGGAGTAACATCTTAAGAGTAGGAATGTAAAGACATTACTGGAATTTGGAGATTACTAGGATCATTAAGGGAGTGGCAGGCAACATCTGGTATTAACAATTTTCTGTCATCATGTTAACATAATGTTTGGTCATTTTCAGTCATGCCTGACTCTTCATGACCCCATTTGGGGTTTTCTTGGCCAAGATACTGGAATGGTTTGCCATTTCCTTCTCCAGCTCATTTTACAGATGAGGAAACTGAGGCCAACAGTGTTGTGACTTGTCTAGGGTCACATAGTTAGGAAGTGTCTGAGGCCAAGTTTGAACTCAGGAAGACGAGTCTTCCTGACTCCAGGCCCAGCACCCTGAGCTATGGTGCCATCTAGCGACCCAGAAGCCAGAAGACTTGATTCAAGTTTGAATAGACTTTGAGTAGGTTTGGGAGTACAGTGGAAAACGGAATCAGAGGATCTGGGTTGTGTGACTTTACTTTCTGTATCTATAAGAGGAGAGGGTTAGAGTAGATGTCCTCTGACTACCTTCCTATCCCATGAGTTTGGGGCTGGGGAGCTTCCAGGTTCAGAGAGGGAAGAAGGATTCAGGTGGATCAAAGAAGTCAGTGGATGAACAGTGCCCAGCACATAGTAGGTGCTTGTGAGTGACAGAATTAGATGGTTGTTGTAATTCATTCTCAAAGAGGACCAAAATGACACCACTATGTTGGTGTCAAATG